CAACTCCCAGAATTCCCCAGCTGGCTGGGGAATTCTGGGAGTTGAAGTCCACCCGTCTTAAAGTTGCCAAGGTTGAGGAACCCTGCTGTACAGCACCTCATTCCAGTTCTCCTCAGTGTTGAGTTTTTGGGAGCGGAATCTCATCTGCCCACCAGAATTCCCGCAAAAAGCAATAATGGAAAACGCTCAGCAAAAAAAGGGTGTTTGGAAACTGTTCTGGAGCGAAAAGGAGCTCATGTTTGGTTTTGTGGACCGCTACTTGTTCTTCAAGAAAGGAGCAGATGGAGAGAAAAGGTACCTATAGGTACATTCCTCTTCTGCTGGTGTTCTCCTTCGGTGCAAACCAGACCCAAAGATACTTATCAGAATCTCTGTGCAATTCCTACCCACAAAGAACAACCATTAACCTGTGCTGGTTCCTGTTCCTCTCTTGCGCTAATAAAGGTCTTCAAAGGGTTACAGTACCGGGATGCACAGGACACCCTAGACTGAGCAGGAGGGCTTAAAAAGGCAAAACGTAGAAAAGGGGGATTTGGAAATGGCTAAGAAACAGGATTTATAGGAACTTAAGTCATCATCATCACCATCATTTATTGAACGTATATGCCACCCGACTCCCAGCAACTGTGGGCAGTTTACAAGTTGTTAAAGACATTTTTAAAAAGTGACAGTACAAGAAACACAAAACAAAGAAACAAAGATGGCAGAGGAAACAGGCCCAGATGGGAACGAGGAAGAAGGGGCATCCACCACCCTCATCAAAAGCCTGGAAATACCAATAGGGTGGGGGGCCATTCGAATCTCGGGGGGGCTCATTCCAGAGGGCAGGTTCTGCTACAGAGAACGTGCGCTTCTGGGGTCCCGATATACGGCGCTGTTTAATCGATGGAGCCTGGAGCGCACCAACCTGGCTGGGCAGACATGATGGGAGACAGGCGGTAACCAGGCACTATGCCATGCAGGGCTTTACAGGTAGCTACCAGCTCCTTGAATCACACCCGGAAGCAAACTGGCAACCAGCGCAGCTCACGCCCATTACTGCCTGTGCTGCTGCATTCTGCTGGCTGAAGCTTCCGGGTGGTCTTCAAGGGCAGCCCCATGGAGAGCGTATTGCAGTAATCAAGCTGTGAGGTGACCAAGGCGTGAGTGACTGTCTGAAGGGTCCCCTGATCTAGGAAAGTATGGCCCTGTCATTTTTGGCATTCAGCCTCCCTCACAACTGGCATGCTGTCCCTGGAAGGACTTCAGAGAGAAGGCAGTCCAGATATAACTATATTTATAAAAAGGGCGTAGAAATCACCTGCCCACAAACTTTGCTAGCCTAACAACCCACATGTACCTGTTTCAGTCATTTGTAGCTTTCTCAACCATTTTGAAGAAGAGGAAGAATGCATCCAGCTACAAAAAAGAATGTATGTTGTATTTCCATTCGTTAGAAGTGGCTATTGCCTATCTTTAAACAAGAGTTTGGAAGGCTGCTAGAGTTGAATGGCAGATGAAAATGAAATTAATATATTTAATTAAGATACTCATACCAATAATGCAAATATATATGTATATATCACATTAATTTTATTACACATTCTACAAAAACATGAGCATTTTAAAATATTACATACCTGAGGTAAAAAGATTACAAAAATATATGTAGAAAAGAATTTGATTTAAATGCAGTTAGGACCTACTGTAGCTATTACAACAAATCAAATCCAAAGGAAAGTTTAAAATATCATCCAAGAGGTAGCTTATTCCTTTAGTGTACTTTTTACCGGATATATTTCCACACATAAAATTGAATTGTACACTACTTCAATAAATGGCATTAGAACATGCAATAAGCTTGAGATATACAGTTCTATCTCCCCCCCCCCCAAATTATGTCAACGTTAGAAAAGAAAAGGGCGTTTCAAACATTCTTTCTTACTAAAATTGCATCATTGAAATTTCATATAAATATCAACATTTCCTATTAGGATAATACATTTTCAACATATGAAAGAAGTCATATTTAAGTGGGGAATCAGACTGTGAGAGAAAAAGTTCTGGAAAGTTCCTTGAATGGTTATGACACAGAGAAAGACTTCCTAGAATATTTACATACCAATTTTAACAGTAGAGGTTTTGGGTCAATTTATACTGCTAAACTAAAGGGTGAAGTGAAAAAAGACATCAGTTTGTAATCTGCACACTTTAAGATCTGTGTACACAGAGCTAAAGCTGCTCACATCTGCAAGCACAAAATCAACTTGATCAATGGAATTCAAATGCTCAGTCAGATCAAATAAGGGGATACTGTTCTCCAGAATGGGAAAAAATACAGACATCCTGTAATAATCCTTAAAGACCTATTTTTAAAATGCCCAAATTTCTATTTAAGGCATCATTAGTGTGTAAAAAAAAACACAAGCTAGAATTAAAGTGATAATCTAGTTTAGCACCTTCTGGCAGAATTCAGTCTATCAGTCTCATATTAGTGAAGATTTTCTCCTCAGTGTCTGTTTGTCACAGGAGTTTACACTGTAAAACACGTTGATATGCTCCTAAAGGAATACTGAAAATGTAGGAAACATTAAGGAAAACATGTTTTTTAGTTCAAGTACTATGAAAATTGTGTCAGGTTTTAATGCTTAACTCGTAAAATTTAGGTACGTATCTGACTTAACACCATCTCGTATTTTGAACCATTACACTATACAGGTAATCCTCCCTTATCGATCACTTGTTCAGCAACCGTTCAAAGTTACGACGGCTGAAAAGGAGACTTACAACTGGTCCTCAAAGTTGCGGCCATTGCAGCATCCCCACGGTCACATGATCGCAATTCAGGAGCTTGGCAACAGGCGCACATTTACGATGGTCGCAATGTCCCATGGTCACACAATCACCATTTGCGACCTTCACACCTGGCTTCCAACAAACAAAGTCAATGGGGAAGCCAGCAGGAAATTGCAAGTCACGGTCATATGATGTCACACTTAACAACCGTGGGCAATTCACTTAACAACCGCAGCTGGAACTGAAGAACAGCTGTCGTAAGTTAGGCACAGTCACGTGACATTTCACTTTATAACCATGCTGCTTAGCAACAGAGTTGCCAGTCCCAATTGCAGTCAGTAAGTGAGGACTACCTGTAAAATAAAACAGAAGGAGCTGAAGAGGAAGTATTTTCTCAAAACCATTAATTTCCTATCAAGTTTAAAAAGTGTCATTAACTTAAAAGAAGATGCACAAAGAACACAATCTATTGCTGCCAATATGCTTAAGGGACTTAGCCCCATGTAAGAATCCCCTGGCCTGCATGCTTTTCAGATGAATATAAACCGCACGTTTACTGTTATCATCAGCACTTGCAGTGTTTGCATCCCTATTAAGAGTTCAACATCTATCTAAATCCAGTTTCTACAACATTTAACAGTGAACTAGACTCCAGGAGAATGAGCAGACAATGCTAAAATTGTCTCCATAGATGGAAAGATGGGTTTAAGTGCAGATACAGTCTTTCCTTCTCAAAGTCTTGTCTTAAGCAAGAGCAATGAGTGCTTCACTTCAAAATGGGGTTTACTCAACTGGGTTAACATTTCCTTCAAGCCATGAAAGCAAGGAAAAGGTATTAAGCAGCAAGCAGCTTTCGCCCTAAATGCCATTCACTGGAGGTAGTTGATGGCCCGAGTGGTGGAAGGTGGGGTTAATTCAGTGTAGGTTCATGAAGCAACAGGCCAACTTGGAAATTGACATCATTAGTAAGTCTGCTGCCTGCCCAGCCTCTCATCCCATCTCTAATTCTAAGTAATACTGGAGGTTCTCTGGTTAATGGAGCATCCTTGGCTCCTTCCACAGGCATTTCGCACTATCCTAGCAAGCGAAAGGAAGACAAACCAATCATTCCGTTCCTGTATTAGGTGGATGACTTGGCCCAGCTATAGTTCCCCAGTATGTGCCATATGCTCACCAACTACAGTAGTGTCCTAAGAACAGCATGCTCCAGGGCAGGTGATGTGATGTGACGGTACCCTACTGCTTACATTTCAATACTGATTTGGTGGAGCATCTGGTCTTCCTCAAAATCAACTTCTTCCTACTAGACTAATGGCTAGTCTTTCCCTCACTCCTCAAAACACCAGCAGCTCCAGAGAGGTGATTTAAAAAAAAAAAAAAAATCCTTACAGCTAATGTTTATGTAGGGGGATAACAGACAACATTCAAAACAGTCAACCACTTCACCTACTTTTGAGGTTCTGTGACAAAATAAAATAAGGGATCAAGGGATAAAATTCCCATACTTTCCAAGGGCTGAGTCCCATTGTTCCTTATGGCTAAATACTTAAAATATTTCAAATTTTGTCCCATCAGAACGCAATTCACTTCAAATGTTCTGAGAGAAGATTCCAAGGAGGACTATTGTGTTTCAAGCTTGGAGCTAAATGATTTTTTTCCATCTGATGTTCACCCTTAATTCAAAGCGACAAAGAAAATTCCAAAATCTGGTTTCATTTTCTTTAAATGAAAGTGATAAAGAAACAACCTTGTCCTTCTTAGGTTAGTTTGGCTACAATATAATGCTTGGATTACCTTGAACAGATTTGATAGTTTGTTAACATTTTAAATTTTTTCATCTTCATTTAGGAGGTCTGAAAAGTCTTAATCTAAGCAGTCAACACAATATATGTAAATAATAAAGAAAGGATATCATGGCTTCAGTCTTCAAATGATGAAGTAACTCCTTTAGAGGAGGATAGAGACACAGGGATGGCACACAGCCCAGCATAACTAATTTATGTTTGGCTCTTGTAATGGCAACATTAAGACGTCTCCAGTCCTTCAGAAGTTCTCCAACCTATGTAAAAAAAAAGCAAAGTACAAGTTCTCAATTACTCTCAAATGAGCCGAGTGCAATCATTCCTTTGCATGGTACCATCTCATCAATGATAACCATTAACCAACACCTGAAGAATGGTGGCTATCTGCTTCATTTAAAATCAATGTGATTTCTTCCATATTATTTAAAACTCTTGTTTTAAGCACACACGGCACTCCACTCTTCTAACACAACTTTACAGATTGTAACCTTTATAGAGTTGATCGAAAGTAAGCAATTTTTTTACATATTGCTAACTTTTGATGCAAACGGTGATAAAGCTATGTTGGTGAAAAGTTGTAAAGAAATCAGGAAAATCACCCAACATTCTCCCATAATGAATCCTGCTGTTGATTTAGTGTCCATATTTCATAGTGTGTGTATGCTTTGATTCCCCCTGTAATCTGTTAAGTTCATTATTTCCAAACAATTAAAACTAAGGTACAATTTTAATTGGATCACTCTTATTTAAAAATGTGGGCATTTGCTGAAAAATTGATACAAAATATTTTGAAAATCCTCACAATTCAAAATCAATGTATTCAAATCTGGTCACCATTTCTTTAGTATGTTAATGGTTTTTCTATGAATTATCTTCATTTGTACAAATGTTATTCTGGGTAGAAATACTGAGTATGGATGTTTTAAATGATTGCATTTATTCTTAAGATTACATCATCTTATCATATACATATACAAGTAGAGTACATAACTCACAATTTTTTGTTTTCTTTTCATAGTTTCCTTTTGTTTTTTCTTCCTTACCTCTGTGTTTTACTTTTTGATCTGTCCCACTGGGCCTATTCTTAAAGTCTTATATCCAGCTAACATTTCTATCTCTTTTACTTCTAAGGTCAAGCACTGTTGCAGATGAAAGTGGCATGCTGAATTTTCTTTCAGTTTGGTTTGGCAGCTTACAACCAAAGGAAAGTATCTCCTGATGTGCAGGGTATTAAGCCAAAAACACTCAGACACTGATGAGATTAGTAGGGTTACACCTACTTGCCATACAGTCTTACCCACTATGCATTTGGCTAGCGTGCAAAGCAGCCGTATATACTATACACATGGACTCTTCAAACAAGGAGAGGAAAACCTGGGAATCTTAGCTACAAGAAAATAACCAAAATAAAAACCAGCCATGATCAACAACAGGGCTTTCTCATAGTAAAATCCAGACTAGATTTCTTGTAAAAAAGAAAAAAAGAATAATCTGTACTAATTATTGCTTATCTTTGCCCTCAATTCTACCTACTAGTGCACACATCTTTTAAGCATTGCACTGCACACAAGTTAAATGTTGAACTGGACAACCAACCTAAAATGCTTGAATTATGAACAAGTGTATGAGTCTATAGTGTTTACTCACATTTCCATCCACATTGTTTCTTACAAAGGACACTATAATTACACTCTTGTCTCTCCCCTGGTATCTGTCCACAGTATTTACTTCTACGTCGTTGATGTACGAGCTTGCCATCAAGTCAGTAATGATCTTCAACTGATGTCTATATGGAGATATGACTCCAATATTTGATGGCTTACAACCAGCCTAAAAAAATAATCCCAGTGTTAAACTGTGGAACCCCACATGGCTATGACAGAGTACATTCCAGCAATAAACCCTTTAGGAAATTTAGGAAAGATAAAGTATAGAAATGTTTTAAAAGGTTCATATCCAACTGGTTCTGTCTGTTGATGATATAAGAGACTAAACAAACTTTTCCTTCTCCTCCTCTAATGCCCGCTGGATCTGAAGTTTCACAGTTTAAAGTTGCTTAACACAAGATGTTAGCTACTAAGTGATAGTTAAGGGATATTTTTAATTTTAATGCAACATTATTTATTCTTAGATATCTTCAGTCCCCCTTCTGCTTTTATCTTCTCCTATAGCTGGGGTGAGCAATCTGAGGTCCACAGGTTGTATTGCCTCCCCATCGTTTAACCACGGCAGCACAAGTTACTGCTATTTTATTAAAAAAAAAAAAAAAAAGCAATCATTGAGATATATTAAGTTTCCCATTAGCTAATTTAACCTATACTACTAGGGAAAAAATAACAATAGAAGAACTGAAAGTGCCAGCCCACTTCTCCTCCTTTATTCCTTGCGCCTGAAATAAGTTATGGAAATAAAATATGCCCTCTGGCTGCAAAAACTAGGCCCACTCATTCTGATAACATTAATTATTTGTATATTTTCTTCACATAAACCTTTTAGCTTATTCATCACAGAAATGTATTTTTGTTAAAAAGTATCCCAAGATTTATTTTTTTTTTACTAAGGTATATAGGCACAGCTATAAGTTCTTCGAAAATCATCCAGAATGTGTGCTTTGTTTCTCAGACAAGAACACAGCACCTCCCTGCCATTTATTAAAGCAAACTGACTTCTGTGCAAACTGCAAAAAACAAGATCCTGCTGTTTTAAAGAATCCACTCATTAAGTGCAACAGCTTGAGTGCTGTGTTTGTGCAAAATGTGAAGCTGTTCTTCCAAACTGTTTTTGAACTCTGCAATTCTGAATGCAGCGCAAGGACTGCACTTTGTGAACATTACACCCCCAGTCGTGAAACTTCAGCAACTTCTATTTTAGTTCTGGATACATGTCAAGGTTAATCTGGTATGCCCTAAACCAGAGGTAGGCCCCTTTTCCATCTGAAGGCTCCTAAAAGAAGCAGGTTAAGCTTTCAGATGCTTTATCTGCATCTACATATAAGCCCCTCTCCCCTACGCTCCCACAAACAGAATGATACTTTCAATGGGAAGGAAGAGGAAAAACAAGTCTTCTTCCCCACAGGAAGGGAAGGAAACCTGCATTCTTGCTATCGTTCTACTTCATCCCAATGAACACAAACAAATTGCCAATTTTTCTGCAAAGGAAACAGATTTATAACCACGTGTTGCTGGAGGAAATTAGAAGCTTGGACTTTGGGTGGGATGGATTCCAAGGGACAAAGCCAGCCTGCAGGCATGAAGCACCAATCCCACGCACACCCTCAAAACAAATTGAGGGCAGGCTATCTGAAGGACCCCCCTCTTCCGAATCTCCTGACTTTTTTCAAGAGCACATCTGAACTATTCAAGAGAAGTGAGATGAGCTCTTTCTCCGAGTTGCGTCAAAGAAAGCAGCCAAGCTTGTGTTTTTTTCTCCCTATTTTTAAACTGTATATTCTGAATGTTTATCCTCTATTTATACGCTTTTTAAAAATAAGTTTAAATATTACTTTTGGACAACCTGACAGAATCCTAGAAGAAAAAGGTGCAATTTATATATTTAAGAATTAAATGAATACATTATCAGTTCTAGCCACTACAATAAAGTATTTGCGAATGCAGAAGAATCAAAAGTGCTGCCTGACAAAGTTCACAGGGCACTGATGCAATTTTTTTGACAATTCCAAGAAATCTAAGAGATCTTCCCACTTTAGCTTAGGATATAAATACATTGATTCTTTCTAAAGAGTTTAGACATGCCTTTCCATTTTCATTATAGGCTGCAAACCTTAAAAAGGACAAAAGGGTAACAAAGAAGAGTTGATACTTGGTTGTGTTGTCTGTAGGCAGCCCTTGGCAAAAGAAGCAGATATATGGAATTTACAGCATAACCTCTGTAAGTCTCTCCTTTACAGACTGCAGAAGAGGAGGCAGGAGGAAAACAGCAGAAGACCAGTAAAAGAGGCTCCCTTCTAACTTTCCAAACCATCTGTCCTGAACAGAGGCCACAAAAGCAGTTCCCTCAAGTAAGTACAGGTAGTCCTCACTTACCAACTGCAATTGCGACCGGCAACTCTGTTGCTAAGCAATGCAGTCATAAAGTGAAACATCACATAACCACACCAGACTTACATCAGTTCTGCTGTGGTCATTAAGCAAATCACCATGGGTCGTTAAGTGCAACATCACATGACCATGACTTGTGACTTCCTGCTGGCTTCTCCATTGACTTTGCTTATCGGAAGCTGGCAGGGAAGGTCACAAAGGGCGATCATGTGACTGCGGGAGGCTGTGACCATCATAAATGTGCACCAGGTGCAGCTGCCAAGCACCTGAATTCCAAACACATGACCATAGAGGCACTGCAACATCTGTAAATTCAAGGACCGGTCATAAACCTCCTTTTTCAGTGCCATCATAACTTTGAACAGTCGCAAACTAGGCAGTTGGTAAGTAAGGACTACCTGTATACCTCTTTATGTAACAAGTATCTCAACATAAACACATATTCTAAGCATAATGGTTAAAATCACATCCTTGTTCAAGAACATTTAAAAAAAATCTCCAGTGTTAAATACAAGAGAAATACCTTTAAAAACATGGATGTGAGGAAGAACACCAGTCTGGCTTCAGTCGTGTTACATATACCACCTTTTTCTATCTGTTCAGGGGCCACAACCTGAATAAGAGACCAACACCATATATCTAAATTCACAGCAATGCAAATTTCAAGCTGTTTGATAGTTCAGAAAGACTAGATTGAGCTATATCAAAAACTGCTGCATGTAGATCATTTAATTATGCCAAAGCGGACAATTTTACACCAATGCCAGTCTTACTGGAACTGAACATTTGGACATTTTCCAAAGCAATTCACTTTTAATTAAGCCATTTTCAAGGGAGAAAAAGACAGTAAATAAAATTCAATCTCTATATCAAGAAATATGGAATAGCAAAAGGATAGGATAGAGGTTCCCAGAATGAAAAGAGCAAAAGTAACTGATAGGTCCTTTGGGGTCAGAGAGAGCTTTGCCCTGGCCGAAACGTAGGGAAGACACGGGTCACTCTGCCTTGCTCAAAGATGCAACACCACACAGTCCCTGCCATTCATGGGTGATGGAAGTTAAAGCCAACTGTGACCTCCTCACATTAATTTTGCACCTTCAATTTCCTGAGTAACAGAACAAAACCCCACATCAAATTGTTTGGGGGATGACATGAGAGGCCCATAAAAGTTACCTTCTCTGTATTAAGGAAACAAACAGGATTATTTGGATCAAGTGTTTCTTTTAGCCACGTTTCTGAAGAATACTCTTCCAATTTCAGTTTTTTTAAGTTCGGCAAGTCAATTACAGCTTTGGACACCTTTTCAGAGCCACACTCCAGTTTACCATCATATACCAGCTTGTTACTCAATGACATAATTTTACTAAAGGGATTTAAAATGAAAAAAAGTCAGATTTGGCCACTCATATTATGCAGTGAAACAACAGTTACATTCTTACACACCTGTTCATTCGGTACTGGACAGTTAGATGCACAACAGCATTCTTGTTTTGTTCCAGTCTTTTGAATAAACTTTCACTCATGCCACATTCTCTGTAATAAAAATTCAGTCAGTGGCTCGCACACAGCATTGCTAACAGCCAGTTTAAATTCCTGTAGCATGTCATCCTACCTACCTTGCTTCTGGATTTTGCACAAGTGGAGGCAACTGCTGATGGTCTCCCACCAGCACAAATCGAAATGAATAGAAAAGGGGGCCAAGGCAGACGGGCTGGCTAATCTGAGAAGCCTCATCCACTATGCAGAAGTCAAATCGTTTACGAGTGAAGATTGGATGGTTTATTCCCATGCATGTTGTTGCAATGACTGGCTGGAAAAAGTTGAGAAAGTATGATTATATTTTAATATGAACACCAAAACTTTTTTTTTAAAAAAGACATTTCAACACTGAATCAAAAATTCATCCATTCAAGTTCAAACAATACAAGATTGTGCACCCTGTACAAGTTATTAAATGCAGAGCTTTAACTGAATGTCTCTCTGCTCTCAGAATTTGGGATGGAGCCAATTTTAATTTATTATTCCAGCTGTCTGTTTAACTACCTAATTTCCTACCTATCTTTTAAATAAATTGGTGGCAGGGAAGCAAAGTTGGTCAGAGGTGAAGATGAAAGGTAAGTCTTTCTCTGCAATCATTCATCAGTCCTGGACCTTACAGAAATTTAAATGGTAAGATGCCTGTAAATTTGTTGGTAATGAAATCTGAGAATTCCTTTTTATGTTGTAGAATATCACAGGCTGGCCAACATCTGCATTCTTTGGACAACTCTAATTCCCTTAGATGCGCAGGAACATACATTTATTATCTCATATGCAAATCCTAAGTGAACAGGTTCCATGTTAAAATTTGCAGGACTTAGTGGCAAAGTTCCCCAATTACAAACCCAAATGTGGCTTTCATTTTTGGGGGGGATATCTTTCCAGCACCGAAACTGTGGATAACAACACTACAGATCCTGAGAACTTGAAGAAATGTAGTTTATGAGGGGGTAAATCTATCTCCCTTTTGCACATGTGTAAAGCAAGAAAAAACAGCCCCCAAACTGCAGATACATCAAAATCTTGACCACGGATATTGAGATCTATTCTCTTTTTAAGCAGTGAAACTATGCAGAATGGAAGCATGGCTAACAAAGCCCCTTTGTATAATCATGTATGTCTACATCATATAAAACGAATTTAAGAGATGCAGCACCTTTCTTGAAAAATATGAACGCACCTTTCTTATTAATTTGATAAAAACTGGTAGGACCACATACCTAGAATATAAGCATTATGAAATTACAACACTAAATGAATGTCACCAGCACAAACTTCCTAGCAGAGATTCTTTTTTGGAATGCTAGACTCCTGAAATGCATTTTCCTTACTTGACTTTGGTACAGTTCCTCCAAGTGAGCCACAGTTTTAATGCACTTTGATTTGCAGATCTCTTCTTCTGTAAACCTCTTTATGTCTGGGTGAACCTTCTGAGCTCTTCCCAGCCGCAAAAATCCTACTTTGAACTTTGCTAACTTTAGAAGGATATTGTCAACTGCTGTGTGGGTAAAACTAGTTAAGAGAACACTGAAACCACAAGCATAAAGAATCCGAACCTAAAGTGTGGGAAAGACAACCAAGAAAAAAATTTTTTAATCTGTATTTTACTTAGTTCTCCTGCCCTGATTCCCACCCCACCCCAGATAATATAAGAGCAGATCAGAAGGCATTACCTCTTGCATTCAGAAAATGTTTCAAGAAAGTCTACAGAACTATACAGGTCAATCTCACCCTGGTCTATCCCTGGACATTTCTCACTTACTGCCATGCACATATTCAACTTGTATAGAAATCAACCCCTGAAGTATAGCTTCCCTCCAAGCTGTAGGAAATCTGGGTTGAAGCATGAAGGAACTCTGTGCTCATGTCTCTGGCACGTAAGGAAAGGGGTTCTGTGCACTGTAGTTCAGGGATGATCGACCTTTTGATAGTCAATGGCAGCCCTTAATGTTTTAGGTGGCAGTGAGTAGGTTACAATGCAAAGCAGGCAGAGGATAGGGGAATTTGTAATTTAAATACAGGTAGTCCTCATTTAGCAACTGCCTCACTTAACGACCATTCAAAGTTATGATGATGATGAAAAAGTAATTTTACAACCCGAGTTGCCAGTCCCAATTGTGGTTGCTAAAGGAAGACTACTTGTATATTAAACCTATTTTAGGGCTTATTTATAGTTTTCCATTTTAAAGTGACAAAAACACTATGTCATTAGTTTTCAGCAATTATAGTCAGAGATGGCTCTAGAAGCAAAAAAAAAAAAAGGAATGAAAAGCCACATGACACCCTGGGATTATATTGTCCATTCTGATGTAGACAATGATGATTATGGGCTTTAGGTGCATTTATTTGCAACAGGAGGCAGCTAGCCTATGTGCTTTAACTTTTTTTTGATATTCAGTAGCTACTGAATTCATACATGCTGGAGGTATACAGCTCTGAGATTTTCAATGATTTAATCGTCAAGAATTCATTGCTTCAACAGATATCATAATATCCACATTAAGAACATAGTCACATCCTGGTTTGTTTTGTTAAACAATCTTCACATTTTAGAAGTTACAATTTGAGTAACAGAACTGAATCAAGTTCACCTTAATATTGGGTCAAACTTTTAAACAAAGGGGCAATTGCTAATCCTGCTTCAAAGTCAAGGCCTTACCAAAGCACATATTGTCGTAGTCTTCCCTGTTCCTGGCATACCAACAACAAGGGTGTAATCCTTTGAAAGAAGAACTTGTTTCATTGCTTGTTTCTGGGGTTTATTCAAGCCTTGGATTTACCAGACAAAGGGAAAAGTCATTAACTCTGCATGTTAACTAAAACTGCACTCTATTTCTTCTCTGTAAACAACGCTAAGAGAGAAGGTGTTTGAATACCCATGTTAGAATGTTACCATTAAAAGTCCATTTAGTCTTTGTTCCACATACAGAGAAAATGTACTTCAGTCTCATCCTGTATAACCTCAGTCCCACTGAATATAGTATAGTATTCTCCAACTAAGTGGACACAAGCATTGTGCTAAAACAGGCATGTTGGGACGGGTGGAACCAGCAGAAGCCATTTACCTCAGACCCTTACAGTGAGCCCTCAGACTTTCTTTCTATTATCCAAGAACTGAACTTGGAACTAATTCACTGCTGTCTTCAACACTCAGGGTCTTGTAATTATTCACTTGTGGTACAAGTAATACTTGTTCTATGCAAGGACAAATTTGTAAATTAAGAGTTACTTCTGCTTGTTTTTCTGGCAATTATATTTGCAATAAATGCTCATTAAAAAAAAACATATAGGCTGTTCCACCAGTAAAAAAGTGCTTCCCAGATAGTATTAGTTGGAGAAATACCTGTGGGTTACTTGCAGTTACTTTACATCTGAACACTAAATCCTGAAATTTGCAAAAGGAGGAGGAGGAGAAAATGTAAGCCACCATAAAGAAACTAGGCAATAATTGGCTCCTTAGGAGAAATTCAAAGTACTGCTTCAGCAGAGAAAATTCTGTATGCTAATACACTTAAGAATCCTTATGCCAGCACAGAAAACTACCCTCCTTCATATAGTATTCATAAGAATTACAACCACTCATAGATGGAATTTCAAATTCCAGGTCTGCCACTGATTCTCTGAGTAGCTTTTCAATACTGTGGCACTGTAAGCCCTGACAATTCTTTAGGATATGCCTGATTATGAATATTACTGCACGAAGTATAGTTGGTATAGTTTGTGGAATGATTCTATTGTTGAAGATGTACAGATTCTGATATATTTTTGTCACAAGGATTTGCAACGAAATTCTCAGCTGGAAAACATTAATTTACTGCTCTGGAAATGTCAGAATTTCACTTAACTACCACCAGAGGGGTTTTTTTTCCTTTAAACTTTTGTCCCCTGTACCTTTCAGAATGTTTGCAACAGTCTCCTTCGCTCCTGGAGGAAGGACAGAACTCAAGTATTGAACGAACTGTGGCTTGTGGAAGTCTATTATTAAGTTACGAAGCTTTTCACTGAAAGAGAATAAGAGAGAAAGGATGAAATAGTCAAATCTGGAAATATTTCTAAGAGTAATGTTACTTGTGGAAATAAAGACCAAAAAAATACCTGGCAGGAGAATTTTCCATTAATTTAGAAAGATTTGCTAAAGGGGCATCTATGCCAAGTGCTCCTTCCTCATGATCTAATCTATATGCAGTATCCCCAGGGAGATGAGATAAGTTCCTGAAATACATTAAACAGAACCAGTAAAATTCCACAAGAAGTTCAAATACCTCCTGCCCATACAGAAGAAGTATTTTAAATCTAATGGCCATTTCAACTATGATACAGTAGCATCTATACAAGTTCCAATTCTCATCAGGAACACATCTAACCTTAACACACAAACATCTCCTGAGAAAAACATTTTGCCAAAACTGCATAAAGTCCCAAGTACAACCAGTATTGATACTTATGAAACAGCCTTTTTTAATCTCAGTGGCAATTCACACTGAAACCCAAGAACCAGCTTAAATAAAACCCCACAAATACAGCTTTCAACAAGGCAAGCATGCAAGAAACTATATATTTATGAAGATCTGCCAATGTCACAGTAAACAGAAATATCACTGTTTATTAACAAGACACATGCAATCTTCTTTTGCAGTTAGCAATTATGTCTGCTTTTTTGAACTCTCAGCAGGTAAAATATAAATGCAAGCAATACAAAGCAATCAATACCTATCCAATAAGCAGGAAATTTTGGTTCTATTGACCTCCTGAATATAGCCAGTAGATAAGCCAAGCAAACTGCTGTCTTCGCCACTTAGAACAACTCTGTCCCCAACCATCAAAGTTGTGATTGGCACACAATCGTCTCTACGCTGGAACCAGTGTAGATACTGTCCATCCGAAACTTCTACTACCTTTTCCATTCTGATCATATTTCCAATGCAGTCACCATGTTTTTCTCTACAAACATCAAGAAGAAAGAAGAAAGTGGTTTTGGATTTCTTCCACTAGGAAAAAAGTCACGCTATAGCATTTTCCCCTTCTCACTCTAATTTGTAAAATGAAGTTTATAAACGAGCTTACAAAATTCACTGCCAGTCCTCGTTTTATTCTTTGTCTTACCTTTCTGCAGCAGACATCATCCATATATTTCTGCGCCCCTTTTTCCCATCTTTATACTGTGACTCCAAAGTTAACATTAGATACCAGAGATGGAAATATTCCAAGTGAGAAGGCTTCAAATGCTGGGTCTCTTTTTCAGCAGCAGCCACCATATCCGGAGGAATCAAGATGTCTTTCTGTTGTTCTACAGCCCTGAAACACAACTAAACATGAGTCCTCCTGAAAAAAATCTAGGTTGTGTGATTCCTGCTTTTCTGTCCAACCTTCTATTACGTTTCCTTAAACCCAAACCAAGAATGATCCTTAAAATTATGGTGTCAACTATTTTGAACTAAGGCACACTTTCAAATAACCCCTTTAAAAGAAACTTACCTACTATAAAGTATACAGTTCTGTTTCTGAGAGCAATAGGTACATGCTTGACTATCATTAATCAAAGGAGGTAGAGAGGCAAGCTGTGTCTGCTTTTTTCCTGTGGCAGATTTACACGTGTCGTGAATTAAATAGAAGGCCAACTGATTTCTTAGTTTAATCAGTTCTGCAAAGGAGAAAAACAGAAACAGGTTCAGATGCTCTCAATTTCAAAGTGCACCCCCCAAAAAAAAAAAAAGCATACAGCAGAACTTGGGCATTTAGCACATTCCAGGACATGGATTGGCCCTATGAATTCATTCCCTCATTCACCTGAAAACAAACAAACTATTAAATACATTTCCAACATACCTCAAGTCAGCCTCTCTATTGAATATACTTCTGGGGGGCTGGCGGGACAACCATGACAGTGCAGGATAACACCCCCTGTAAGGCTGCTGGACTGGTGACCAGTAGGCTTCTGGGCCCAATTCAAAGTACTGATCATTACCTTAAAGCCCTACCTGGCACAAAAGGATCCCTTGCCATAATTGAATCTTCCCATCTGGTACAAACTTCTAGAGAGGGTCTGTCGAGAATACCCCTACCTTGAGAGGTACACAGGGTGTGGACTAGAGAACAGGCCTTCTATCTAGTAGCCCCCACACTCCGGAACGCTCTTCCCCCAGAAATATAATTGGTCCTGTCTCTTCTTGCATTTATCAAGCAGGTAAAAACCACATTATTTCAATGTGCTTTTAGCCCTAGTTGATTGAGGGAACTGATCACAGGCATTTTTATAATTTGTACCAGGGTTTTTTTTATTGCTCTATTCACCACTCAGAGTTCATCAGGATTCAGGCAGCCTACAAGTACTGCTAAACAATTTGATAAATAAATAAGTTCTTCACATTGCACAAAAAATATTTGTTTTTGATCAAAATGTCTTGCAACTGTAATAATGAGCAACATCTTAAAGAGGACAACATTAAGCACTAAAGGAAGGAAAAGAAGATGACACTCAGAAATGTCATTACCAAATAGGGCCACAGCTTTAGATATTTCCAGCTGGCACATAATGCAATTCAATCCAACTTTGACTCAGAATTGGGATAGACAGTGAAAATACAATCCAGCTGATCCTCCTAGACTAGAGATAAGCAACTTGAGGTTCCAAAACTGCAGGTTGCCCTGGAATCCTTTTAGAGCCCCCTCAAATCATACCCATTAAAAACTCTTAAGGTGTCTACTCCATCTTCTCTGCTACATTATACATGTTTTGTTTGTATTCCATATGCTAGAAGTTTAAAAATGTATTTCCTTTTATAACTGAGTTCAGAGACTGTTTTGTTTTTGGCATAAGACACACAAACACACACAATGGCCACTGTGAAGGCACTACAATGGAAACACGGGGGAGAAAATACTGTAATTATACTCCCATGGACATATTTTTGCCAGCATAAAAGTTACCTCTCCTATCCATACGATTTCCTGCTACAGGAAACATATTGCCGGTTTTCAAATACAAGAGAAATCCACCTTCAGGATCAACTCGCCTTTCTTGACACAGTAGGGAATACAAAACTACCTGAAAAGATATTTAGAACAATTAAGGCCAAAAATTAACCACAGTAACAAACTGAAGATATTTGCAACATTTTAGTTTACTAAGAAAGAACTTCATAAAAGCTGCAGTCATTCAATATGCTACTGTATTTCGGTGAGCATACAAATACTTTTCTGGCACACGACCATCCTAGGATCATCAATGCAGAGGTAAGCGCTATGTAAATTCTAACCCCAGTAACAGTCACAGGTAATTGCATCAGATGACTGCTGCCACTGTACAGATGAAAAAAGTTGTCTTCTGGTCGAGCATGATTCCTGGTGACTTATGCAGACCTGCTTATTTAATTTATTTGCCTTGCATGACAACGGCTTACTGTTCTTTTTATTCTTGGAGCAAACAGGTGGGCAAACAGCTGGGGCTTGCAGGTCAGAGGAGAAGCACCACTACTTACAGCTGATGAATAATCAGATGGACTCACAGCCACACTTGGGAGCCAGACGGCTTGCCTATTTGACCCGTGCTTAGGATAGGCAGGAAACTATCATCTTGATGCAGATGAGAGAGGAAGTTACATTGCAGGTACTGGTTAGATACATGGCAAACATACAGGAAGGAGGCAGCAACAGCAGAAGAGAGACTTCTAGATAACTGGCAGGAAGGGGGTGGCAATGCTAAGTAGGGAGAACTTTGCTTTAGTTGTTCCCAGTAGCTACAGGGGAATAAGACAAGGTCACAGGCCATTATCTTCCTTACCCGTTGGTCATATATATACCACTGCTGAGCAGAAGAGGAAGAAGAAAGAGAAAGGTGGCATCAATAGGCAAAAAGAGAAAAAGCAGGCAGGGACAATGCATGCCTGCAAACGTTTGCAGCAACTGCTCAGGGGGCTTCACACAAAACCAGGGAAGAGGCATGTAACTACCAGTCTGTATAATTCTGACCTAGACAATGGGTAGCGAACCTTTGGCTCTCTAGATACAGTCATGTGAAAAAGAAAGTACCCCCTCTTTGAGTTTTATGGTTTTACGTATCAGGACATAATAAAAATCATCTGGTCCTTAGC